CTCTGCATGCTACCAAACTGGAAGTGGAATTTCTGTCCAATCCTCAGTTTTATCCTCCACTGATGAGGTGATTTTCTTTGGGGCATTTGGATTGATATTGTTACTTTGTTTAGACACATTCAGAATTCCTGTGTCAGGAACCACTAGCTGAGATTTAATATCCATTTTCTCCTTCCTCCTTAAGCACAGAATCTCAATGTTATTAGGGACAACAATGTACCCAACTAGAAGACTACAGCAGTGAGGTGTGGTTGTGTGAGTGAGTTCTGTTCGATGAGCTGTAAGTGGAAATATGCCTGCATTTTGGAGCGGGCTGCTGAAAGGGAGCTGATCAAGCAGGAATGTGACCCTTTGCCTTTCCTGTTGCCTAGCATGTGGCCTTGAAGGCTGGTATGCTTGCAGTCATCTTGCATAATGAGGCAACCTTGAAGATGGAGGTTGGACAATGAGGCAGCCTTGAAGCTAGAGGCAACCTTGAAGACGGAGGCAGGGCAAAAATATAATCTTTTTGCATTGATTACTAGGTTCTTTGTGGATGCCTCGAGCTGCCATATCAGTCCTGGATCATGTTCTTATAAAGAGTATAAATCCTTGTGTGTTTAAGCCACTATTTTTTCTCAAATATTATCTCTCCTATGAAGTAATGCCTTATCTCTTGACAGTTAGAAATGGTTCCTTTGGGGCCGGGCGCGGTGGCTCAAGCCTGTAATCCCAGCACTTTGGGAGGCCGAGGCGGGTGGATCACGAGGTCAAGAGATCGAGACCATCCTGGTCAACATGGTGAAACCCCGTCTCTACTAAAAATACAAAAAATTAGCTGGGCATGGTGGTGCGTGCCTGTAATCCCAGCTACTCAGGAGGCTGAGGCAGGAGAATTGCCTGAACCCAGGAGGCGGAGGTTGCGGTGAGCCGAGATCGCGCCATTGCACTCCAGCCTGGGTAACATGAGTGAAACTCCGTCTCAAAAAAAAAAAAATAAAAAGAAATGGTTCCTTTGGCTTTTGAATTGTCATAACAGTTACCTCTAATTCCCCATGGTACTGATACATAGCATAACATTCTCTTTTGTAGCAATGCTATTTGGGTTTGTGCCGTAAGGGAACCAGGTGGCTAGCCTAGTAAAATCTAGTACAGATCCTCCAAGGCTGGCTATGGGCGAGGAATCACCAAGTAGGGAGTGCTGGCTCGACCTCAAAGCCCTGACTCCTACTCCCAGTAAGTGCTCCTACCACCTACAGGCTGGCCTCAGGGACCCTGCTTTACTGTTGAGGATTCAGACCAAGTATCATGATATATAACTCTTTGCTTAATTCTACTTGACACAACTGAGAATAAGCTAGGAGATTATTGAAAGCTCCAGGTACCAGAGGGGGAAATAAATAAAGACAGTAAAATAATACTAGGTAATCAATCTTACTAGTCATCTTTAGTTTGGGTTCCCTGCTGCACCCTTTCCTGCTTCCACATAGCAGATACCATCTGTGTTTTGTTATCTCTAGATTCAGTGGCAAAACTGTTCAGATGCAGCCACTAACATTATCTTAAGGCCTTTGGAATACAAAGACAGTGGTATCTGCATCTGGCATGTCCAAGCTGAAACCTGGATCCTAACACTTTTGAAAACTTGATAACTAAGATGATAAAGGCAAGCAAACAACTCCTGTCCTCTAAAATCTCCCTTCTAGAGTAATTCATTTGGTCCTGGGATTCCATTCAGTGAGAAATTTTAGTTATGCAATAGAAAGCAAACATCCTCTTCTAAATGAAGGTGTTTGAGACTACTTCCAAGGAGCTAAACTTTCCTAGAATTTAAGATAGTATTGTTGTCTTTGCAGAATGCTGAGTTGTGTCTTTGCAGAATTTCATTGCTTTTGGAGAAAATACTCTGAACTATGGAGGGGGTCAGTAACGATGGAAAAGTTAGCACAGTGCCTGGGCCTTGGACTTACACAGAACCCCCATATTAATCAAAGGAATGGGAATTAGAACATAATAGAACTGTTTTTATGGGACAATTTGTGACATCAAGGTTTAAGACACATTTTTAGGGCAGATGACAAACAGAGAGTTAATAATAGCAAATAACAATAATAGTATGGTGGTTAATACTGAGTATAAACTTAATTGGATTGAAGGATGTAAAGTATTGATCCTGGGTATGTCTGTGTGTGTGTGTTGCCAAAGGAGATTAACATTTGAGTCAGTGGACTGGGAAGTCAGACCACCCTTAATCTGGGTGGGCACCATCTAATCAGCTGCCAGCAAAGCCAGAATATAAGGCATGCAGAAGAATATGAAAAGGCCAGATTAGCTTAGCCTCCCAGCCTTCATCTTGCTCCCGTGCTGGTTGCTTCTTACCCTTGAACATCAGACTCTAAGTTCTTCAGCTTTGGGACTCAAACTGGCTTCCTTGCTCCTCAGCTTGCAGACAGCCTATTGTGGGACCTTGTGATCATGTTAATACTACTTAATAAACTCCCATATATATGTGTGTGTGTGTGCGTGTGTGTATACACACACACATATCTGTCCCCCTAGAGAACCCTGCCTAATACATATAGTGAACACTTCTATAGTGCTTATTCCTTGCCAGGCATACTCTAACACTACAGGTATATTAGCTCATTAATCCTCATAGTAACTTTGAGGCAGTACAAAGATTATTATCTCTGTTTTACAGATGAGGAAACTGAGGCACAGAGAGGTTAGATAGATTGCCCAAAGTTGCTCAGCCATGAAGAAGTGGAACTGAGATTGAAACCCATGCAGCCCAGCTCCAGAGACTGGGCCTTTACTCTTCTGACTGTTCACTTAAGAGAAGTATCCCTTTCTCTACACCTCTGTGTGAAACCTTGTGTCTTAGTCTGTTTGGGCTGTTACAACAAAATACCATAAACTGGGTAGCTCATAAACAACAGAAATTGATTTCTCACCATCCTAGAGGCCAGAACATCCAAGATCAAAGGCACCAACAGATGTGGTGTCTGATGAGGGCTTTTGCTTCCTCAAACACTGCACCTTCTCTCTGTGTTCTCGAATGATAGAAGGGGCAAACAAGCTCTCCTGTGCTTATGTTACAAGCACACTAATCCCATTCATAAGTACTTCACTTTCATGACCTAATCACCTCCTTAAAGGCCCCAGCCCTAACAGTATCACCTGCAGATTAGGGTTCAAATATGAATTTTAGGGGGATGCAGACATGGACATCATAGCACTGAGGATTGACAGCTGTTGTCAATGGTGTTCCAACTCCCTTGTAAATATTCCTGATAAACAGAAAGGCAGATGGTTTTCATCTATTTATTTTTCATCTGGTCACCTTATTGAACTCTCACATTAATTCTATTTACCTTTCAGCTAACTCTCCATGATTTGGAGTGGTGATGGAGGTAATCATCTTTCCTGGAATTATGCATTATCTGGCTTCAACTTTTTCTATAGCTGTGCCTCCCATTTCTGTTTGCTACCCTACCACATCAGCTATAATTTATGAAATAATAAAAATGGAATTGAGTTTTCCAGTGGTTTTCAACAGGATAAATATGACATCAGAGAATATGGGAGCAGAGTAAGCAGTGAAGAAGAAATTACGGTAATTTAGGTGTGATGTCATGATGGCTTAGTCTAGTATGAAGGCTGAGGACATAAAAAGGGGGGATATATGGGAAAGATGCCTTAGATAAAGAAATTACTGGACTTGTGATGTGAGTGAGCAATAAAATAAACTACATCTTTCCCAAAACCACTTAGTGCCGTACTGATGGTGACAATTTGTAACAGATGTTAGTATCCATTGAAAACATATGGCCGGTTATCAACAGGAGGTGAGAGGAAGTAAAGGAATCACCAGTCTCAGTTTATGAGAGTATTAGCATATATATATATATAATCAAGTCTCCATGGTATGTGCGTATTTTATATAATCAAATCTCCATGGTTAATTCTTCAGTTCTTGAGCTATTCAGTCCCTTTCCTCTCTGCCTGCTCCAGACTCAAAATCTTCTTTTTTCCTCAAAACCCACTTTGTGTATTCTGTTACCTGTTCTTCCATGCATCTTGGCTTAATGGCCCTAGTTCAGGGAGTCCTTCCAGATTTCCCCAGCTCTTGGACCATACCAGTGGTGTCTCTTAGCATAGCATCCTGCACTCGTCTTCCCAAAGTACTCACCACAGTTGCGATTTGGTAGATATTTGTGTGATTGTGTAACATCTGTTTCCCTCACTGGACCCATCAGCTCCAGAAGGGCATGGAGCAAAGCTGTATTTATTTAATAAGCTGTATTTATTTCTGCCATATCCCTCATGCCTAGAACAAAATCTGGCATATAGTACATAATCCATAAATGATTGTTGAATGTACTCATGACTATACAATAATAGTACCTTAAATAATTAGCACTTATATAGTGATTTTCTAGCTTATACAATACTTATTTTATGACTGCTGTGTCTCACCTGGTCCTGTGTATCAACCCTGTGAAAAATACAGATATGGGACATTTAGCTGATGTCTTATCAGGATATGGTATTTTCACCTGTGTCATCTCACTTGGTGCTCACTGAGACCCTTGCAATTTATTCTCCAGAAGAACTGAGCTCTGAATATGACATACTCCTTATACATATGGGTTCTTCTCTCTGCTGAGATGACCCACCATTGTGGATGTCACTGTGGCTCACCCAGACTGCACCTCTCCACTAGCTGCTGGGAGCATTGGCTACTAACAGCTCCTAGCCACTCCCTTCTCTAGAGAATTGTCCCCCTCCCAAGAGCCTAGAATGAAGTATCCCACCTGGGAGGGGGCAGCACATAGTTCATGACTGACTGACACAGGGTATAGAAAGTCATCTCTTGACCTCAAAGAGGTTGCTATAGTTTGAATGTGCCCCCTCCAAAATTCATGTGTTGAAACTTAATCCCCATCGTGGTGGTATTAAGTGATGGGGCCTTTTGGGTCGTGATGAAGTCATAAGGGTTCTGCCCTCATAAATGGATTAGTGCCTTGTGAAAGAGCTCAGGGTTGAAGGGATCACTCTTTTGCACTTCTGCCATATGAGGACACAGCATTTGTCCCATTTTCTTTGCCCTTCCATCCTTTCTGCCATGTGGGGACACAGCAGGAAGGCCCTAACCAGATATGAAACCTGCCAGCGCCTTGATCTTGGACTTCCTAGCCTCCATGACTACAAGAAATGAATTTCTGTTTCTTATGAATTACCCAGCCTGTGATATTGTGTTAAAGCAGCATAGATGAACTAAGACAGTGGGCCTCCTGCAGAGCCCATACCCTTGCTGCCCTCTCCCACACTCCTGCTTCCTTGACTATCCAATAGATGTCTCTGCAGGAATCTCCATCTCAGTCTCTGCTGTTAGGGAGGCCAACCTAAGACGCATTGCCTTGTCCACTTTATGCACCTCTAGCCTCCCTATAAAACTTTCCCTGGAGATGTAAGACTGGCTAGTACAGACAACATGGTCCTCAAAGAGGAAGCACCTGGAACCAGGTGGGTCCCTGCAGTCTGGTAGGTATGGAGGGAGTGCCACAGAGTGGGCATATATTGAAGCCAATCTACCAGCGCCCAGAGCGGAGGATACCAGCGTGTGGCCTTCCCTGGGACACTCAGGCATACACCACCACTCCTTGGTGAGCTGGCTCTCCTGATGGCAATACTCACTCCTTAGCCTCCCTTCCTCACTTCTAATGCCTAAAGAAAAGGTAGAGAGAGCCTTTGGGCTTTGGGTTCTATAGGGGCTTGTAACAGCAGGGCCTCACTGTCTCAAGTCCCACTGCCACTGGACCCTTGAAGTTTGGGCTTCTAGAGAGGCCCAGGGAGAAGCTGGAACTTTCTTCCACCTGCCTAAGGCCCACCTCTCTCTTCCAGGGTGCTGACAGTAAACGTGTATGCTTGCCCACCGCCACTTCCAGGGGGCATCCTGCAAGTTTCCTACAAGGACATGGCTTTACTCTGTGACTGCCACAGGTCCACTCCTCCAGATGTACATAGGAAAGCCCAAAATTCATCTCAGAGATGAACACTTACACTTTTTCCCATCTTTGTTCCTGCAGTAGATGGTAAACTCCAGGAAGGCAGGAATCATGTCTTGCTACCTTAGTATCTCCCAGGGTAACAAGAACATAATTTATTTTTCTGAATTGAAAGAGTTCTTACAGAAATGTTATACAATTTCCTAGGGTAGAGTCTTGTGCTCAATCTTATTAAATAAGTGAAGGTACATTTTCTTTTGTCAAAGCATATTAAAATGGCTTTTTAGAGTTGATTTATATTTGTTTGTATATTTTAGGGCAGGGAGGCCTATAGGTATTCTCAAACTCTATTAAATGAGAAGACACCTTTGGATGCTCTCTCTTATCACTCCTATTCAATACAGTATTAGAAGCCCTGGCCAGAGCAATCAGACAAGCGAAAGAAATATAGGCATCCAAATAGGAAGAGAGGAAGTCAAATTACCCCTGTTTGCAGATGACATGATTCTATATATAAAAAATTCCATGGTCTTGACCCAAAAGCTCCTTAAGCTGATAAACAACTTCAGCAAAGTCTCAGAATTAAAAAAAAAAAAAAAAAAGCACAAAAATTACTGCCATTCCTATACACCAACAATAGTCAAGCCAAAAGCCAAATCAGGAACACAATTCCATTCATAATTTCCACAGAAAGAATAAAAAACCTAGGAATACAGCTAATCAAGGAGGTGAAAGATTTCTTAACGATAGCTACAAAATACTGCTCAAAGGAATCAAAGAGGACTCAAACAAAAGGAAAAACATTCCATGGTCATAGATAGGAAGAATCAATTTTATTACAATAGCCATCCTATCCAAAGGAATTTATAGATTTAATGTTATTCTTTTTAAAACACCATTGAGATTATTTCCATAACTGGAAAAAAAACGATTTAAAAATTTGTATGCAACCAAAAAAGAGCTTAAATAGCCAAGGCAGTCCTAAGCAAAGGACCAAACCTAAAGACATCATGTTACCTGACTTCAAACTATACTACAGGGCTATAGTAACCCAAACAGCATGGTACTGGGATGAAAACAGACACATAGACTAATAGAACATAATAGAGAGCCCAGAACTATGGCCACACACCTACAACTATCTGATATTTGACAAACCTGACAAAAACAAGCAACAGTGAAAGCACTCCTTGTTCAATAAATGGTGCTGGGATAGCTGGCTAGCCATATGTGGAAGATTGAAATTGGACCTATTCCTTATACCATATACAAAAATTAACTTAAGATGGATTAAAGACTGAAATGTAAAACCCGAATCTATAAAAACCATGGAAGACAACCTAGGCAATACCATACTGGACATAGAAATAGGCAAAGATTTCATAATAAAGACACCAAAAGCAATTGCAACAAAAGCAAAAATTGGGATCTAACTTTCTCCAAAATTTTGTCTAAAAATTAGACAAATGGATGGGATCTAATTAAACTGGAGAGCTTCTGCACAGCACAAGAAACTATAAAAAGAGTAAACAGAAAACCTACAGAATGGGAGCAAATTTTTGCACACTATGCATCTGACAAAGGTCTAATATCCAGCATGTATAGGGAACTTAAACAAATGTACAAGGAGAAAACGACTCTATTGAAGAGTGGGCAAAGAACATGAACTGACACTTCACAAAAGAAGATACATGCAGCCAACAAGCATATGAATAAAAGCTCAATGTCACCTATCATTAGAGAAATGCAAGTCAAAACCATAATGTGATATCATCTCATGCCAGTCAGAATGGCTTTTATTAAATAGTAAAAAACAAAAAACACGAAAAAACAACAAAACCCAGGTTCTGGTGGGGCTGTGGAGAAAAAAGAAACGCTTATACACTGTTGGTGGGAATGTAAATTAGTTCAACCATTGTGGAAAGCAGTGTGGTGATTCCTCAAAGACCTAAAAACAGAAATTCCATATGACCCAGCAATCCCATTACTGGGTATGTACCCAAAGGAATATAAATCATTCTTTCCTAAAGACACATGCACACGTCAGGTGAGTTCATCACAGCACTATTCACAATAGCAAAGACTCAAGTCAGCCTAAATGCTCATCAGTGGTAGACTGAACAGAGAAAATGTGGTACATATACACCATGGACTACTATGCAGCCATACAAAAGAATGAGATCATGTTCTTTGCAGAAACATGGATGGAGCTGGAGGCCATTATCCTTAGCAAACTAATGCAGGAACAGAAAACCAAATACTGCATATTCTCACTTATAAATTGGAGCTAAATGATGAGAACACATCAACACATAGAGAAGAACAATACACATTGGGGTGGAGTGTGGGAGGAAGGAGAGGATCAGGAAAAATAGCTCATGGGTACTAAGCTTAACACCTGGATGACAAAAATAATCTGTACAACAAACCTCCATGGCAGAAGTTTACTTATGTAACAAACCTGCACATGTACCCCTGAACTTAAAAGTTGAATAAAAAAAGACATACTTAAAAAAAAAACCCTATTACTAAGGCTTGCCTGAAATTTTGAGTAGGAAGAGAATAGGCTATGAAGAGAGTACTGCAGGCAGAACCAGAACCATTCACACAACCACCTCCCTACCACTCCTTCCATTTCCTTCCTTTCTTTTTCCCCTATTCCTTCCTTCCTGAGGTACAAAGTAGCATGGATGCCTCCCATAAATGGTGTCCATGAGTCCACACCTGTCTTAGTCTGTTCAAATTGCCATAACAAAATATCTTGGACTGGGTGGCTTAAACCAAAACAGGTTATTTTTTCACAGTTCAGGAGGCTGGATGTCCAAGGTCAAGGTGCCAGCAGTGTTTGTTTCTGGGGAGGGCCCTCTTCCTGGCTTGCAGATGGTGCCAGCTCACTGTGTCCTCATGTGGCATGGAGAGAGAGAGAGAGGGATCTTTCTCTCTTCTTACAAAGTTACAGTCCGATTACATTAGGGCCCTACTGTTAACTCATTTAACCTCAATTACTTCCCACGATTTGAAGATTAGGACTTCAACATATGAATTTTATGGGTGGGAGGAGGGCCATAATTTAGTCCTTTGCTCTAAAACTTTGTAGCTTGATTTGGCCAGTGTCAGCAAATGCAAAGCAGAGGTGTGAATGGTACATACACATTTCCACTTGATCTCTTGCACAATTGGGCTTGCTCACTCTTGCACCTCTACCTTGCCATGATAACACACCTGGCCAACATCATTGAATGATTCAAGAGACACGTGGAGAAGAGCCAAGGCCATCTTAGAACAGGCTGACAGACCAGCTGATCCCCTAAAGCGTGAGTGAACCTATCCAAGGTCACTTGAGCCCGGGCTTCTTCAGTAGAACTGCCCAGCTGACCCATGGATTGGTGAGAAATAAAAAATGGTTGTTTTCAGGATGCTGAATTTTGGAGTGATTTGTTACACAGCAGTAGCTAACTAATTATCCTTTCTCTGTTCCTTCTTTTTCAAATAATTTTTTATGTGTATGTGTGCTTTTTTCCTACATTTCTTCTGTTAGAGTTTAAGGATTAATCGTATCTCCAAATTTCTTTTAATTCCTGATCACCTGAACTAGAATTCTCCCTTCCATCATCTCTAGCCTTTCACTTTTGTTTACATTTTTTCATGGCATTTATTGCTGCTCAACATATTATGTCATATGCTTATTTGTTCATTGTTTACCTCCTCCAGTAGAATGAAAGCCACATGAGGGTTTGGACCATGTCTGTCTCGTCACTGTTGCATTCCCTGCATCTAGAACATGTCTGGCACTCAGTAGGCACTTTATAGGTATCTGTGGAATGAATAAGCAAATGAGTGAATACATTTTTGGAAACACTAAAACAATGACATTTATTTGAGATGTGTTTGTATATGTATATGTTTATGTTTACGTAAACTGAGTGCTTATGGCATGGATTAAATAGAATAAAACAGAACCTAGGATTTAAGTTTTGAGGCTGGTGCTAGCATTTTGCTGAGGTAACCAGATGAATGCCAGTAAAAATGGACAAAGAAACAGCACGAACAGTTGGTTTTCACTAACAAGAATGAAGAAGCTGAATGTTGCCAATTTGTGTATTGTAGGAATAATAAGTCCTTCAAACAGGGCGGGGGAATTGTTTGCCCAGTGTATTCAAGCTGTGACCCTGCCCACAGTTATGTGCTTATATTAGCAGAGCCTGGAAGCTTCACTATTTATGAAAGGATTGGGCTTTTTGAGTACTATGCCAATTCATCTCTTTTCTGAGTTAGAATGTCTTATCCAATTCATTGGTAATTCAATTACTGCCTCTCCTCTTAAAAGGGAATGAGGCTGGGCACAGAGGCTCACACCTGTAATCCCAGCATGTTGGGTGGCTGAGGTAGGAAGATCACTTGAGGCCAGGAGTTCAAGACCAGCTTGTCCAACATGGCAAAACCTCATCTCTACTAAAGATACAAAAAATTAGCCGGGCATGGTGGCACACACCTGTAATCTCAGCTACCTGGGAGGCTGAGGTGGGAGGATGAGCTGTGATTGTGCCACTGCACTCCAGCCTGTGTGATGAGACCCTGTCCCAAAAAATCAATCAAGCAATCAATCAAATAAGGGAATGGGTCATTTAAGGAAAAATAAAGTCATGCTCAGACTTCTAAGCCATCTGCAGTGCAGTGGGGCCAAGTGGTCAGCTGGCTTCCAAAGCAGAGGCTGCTGGTGGCAGGCTGGCCAATAGCCGTATCAAGGTTCTACGAGATCTGGATGTTACTGGCAGTCAGTAAGCAATTTGTATGTGTGTTTGGGAGGTAGGAGTTGGCAGGGAGAAGTAGAAAGTAGGGGCATTTGACTCTGGTAGAATAGAATCTGAAATGTGTATTGAATGTTGCTGTATCAGCATCTGTTTCAGGAAGAATTCCACAGGGGAAGGGATGAGGTCTCTCTCATGCCTCCATTAATCCCCAAGTTTCATTCATAGCAACATCATGGTTATTTTCCCATTTTGGGACCTGCCTGCCCACCCTCCCCCAGGCCAATTCACTTGGTTAAGGGAGTACTTATGACAACCATGATTGTTGAACATGATTTTGTCCTCGATCAGAGTTCATTTGTCCAGCAGAGGCTCCCAACCTGGGCTGAGACCATCACAGTCCAGATGTGAAACTGAAACTGAGAGAGAGAGAAAGAGAGAGTGCTCGTGCCCTTTCATAATTCTCCAAGGGGATAGTTATCAGCTTTTTTTTTTTCTTGAGCTCAGTTGCAGTCCAGCTTATTTCTTCAAGAATTATAGTTAACTCCCTCTCCGGTTTTTTTCTTTAACTAGCCTAAGTAGATTTCTGTTGTTTATAATGCAACGCATCTAGATTATGCCCCTCCCTTGCTGCCATTCATGGTATACCAATTCCATGCCCCATGGGAGGGGCTATCTGTGTCTGGCCTGAAAGCCAATGGGCCTCAAATGTCAAAGATCAAAGGATCCCAAAAGGCTGGAGCTATTCACCCAAGTCTCCAATCAGTAAGAAGGGCTACCTGTTTGGCTTTGCTGGATGGTGAGTCAAAGGGGGAGGGTCAGAGACCCCATGGAAAGATTGATGAGTCCAATTCTGTCCATGAATTTTCAATCTCATTGGTGTTTCTAACTATGCTTAGAAATCTTCATTTGCCTGAGTACTCTTGTATTTACAAACTTTTAGTGACTTACTGCTGGCTGAAGGCCACCCAGACACTATGACTTGCTGTTTAAGGCTCTCAGTGATTTGATATGGTTTTTCAATTTTACTCCCCAGATGTCTCCACACAACTTCATACTTCTTTTCCCCTGAGAGAACAAGTGCTTGCATACCTGGTCCCTCTGCCTTTTTGGGCAAGAAGTCTGTACCTGTATATTTTTCAGGATTTTGATTTATGTAGTCCTCTCAGAGAAATTGTACAAACAAACCCCTTTAGCAGTAGGATAGGAGAAGGCTGCCTTCCTGACATACTTTAGAACATCAAACATTATTCTTTGTAATCTTTGCCAATGGAATAGGTATTCCTTTGGTAGCTAATAAGGCTGAGTAGTTATTCATGTATTTCAGGATTATTATTTTATGTATTGTGTTTTAATGGTCTTGGCTAGTTTTTCTACTGTGCGTTTGCAACTGCCGTTTTTCTTATGAGCATTCTTTATTAAAGATTAACTCTTTGTCTCATATGTTGCAGAAGCCTTCCTTAACTGATTGTCTTATTATTATTGTGTTTGGTTTTGGATGTATAGAACTTTATATTTTTAGGAGGTGTAATATATTGATTTTTTCCTTTGACAGTTGCTATCTTGGGTTTTTGCTTAGAATGACTGTTATTTCTCCTTTAATTTTGCTATAGCTTATCTTCCAGCTAGAATGAGGCTTTTTGAGGGAAGCGTTTATTTTGTTTCCAAATTGTCTCCCTTAGCTCTATTCTCTGCTCTATTTCAGTGTAAGTGATCCATAAGGAACACCTAATTCACTTACTGGCTGCTGTGGCAGGCAGCTTTTTAAGATGCCCCTGATGATACATGACTCTTATTATTCACACCTTTGTGTAACCCCTTCCCTCTGAATGTGTGCTAGAAAATGGAATGTGGCAAAAATAATGGATGAGATTAAGCTATGCAGAACTGTGGCTTCTTCTTTTTTTTTCTTTTGAGGCAGAGTCTCACTCTGTTGCCAGTCGCCAGGTTGGAGTGCAATGGCACGATCTCTGCTCACTGCAACCTCTGCCTTACAGGTTCAAGCAATTCTCCCGCCTCTGACTCCTGAGTAGCTGGGACTACAGTCATGCGCCACCACGCCCAGCAAAGTTTTGTATTTTTTAGTAGAGACAGGGTTTCACCATGTTGGCCAGGATGGTCTCGATCTTTTGGCCTCATGATCCACCTGCCTCAGCCTCCCAAAGTGCTGGGATGACAGGCATGAGCCACTGCACCCGGCCTGTGGTTTCTGTCTTATTCCTTCTTTTTTTTAAAACCATGCAACAAAACCTTTATTAACATTTTGAACAGGTTCAGCTATTACTGAAACTGGTAATTTATAAACTTAAATGGGGCAAATGGCTGTAGTGCAGAGTCGCGCCATCACTGGGCACTGCGAATGCAAGACTGAAGAATTACTCACCACCCGTCAGATGGGGGACCAGGTACAGGGTTGACTCTTTCTGAATGTAGTCAGAAAGAGTGCAGCCATCCATTGGCTGCTTGGCTACAAAGATGAGACTCTGCTGGTCAGGGGGGATGCATTCTTTATCCTGGATCTTGGTCCACATTTTGGAGGCCATCACTGGGCTCCACCTCCATGGTGATGGTCTTGCCGATCAGGGTCTTCAGGAAGATTTGCATTTTGACCTCTTGGAGGATGTGAGGATGCTGCAAATCGCCAATCACATTCAGCCACTGGAATGCCTCCAGATGCTTGCCCAACAAGGCCAGTCACCACACTCTTCCCTCTTTCTTACTTGTTTCTGATGATGCCCACATCTGTGTGAGGCCCACATGATGAGGAATGGAGGGCAGCTTCTGGCCAAACCGCAGTGAGAAACTGAATCCTACGAACAACCACATGAGTAACCTTGGAAACAGATCCTTCCTCTGCTGAGCCTTGAGAAGACAGCAGCCCTGGTGGCATGAGAGACAACCTGAGCCACAGGACCCAGAATCATGGTGCCCAGATTCCTGACCTGATATGAAATAACAAACGTTGTTTTAAGCTGTGAAGTGTTGGAGTAATTTGTTACATGGCAACTCATAACTAATACAGGTGTTTAGTTCTTCTAGTCTTTGGGTATTTTTCTTTCCCTTCTGTTGAAGAAAACCCCATTCTATTTACTGCTTCAAAAAGTAAAGGGGAATCTCTATAGGGAACCCCATCAGCTTTGGAAGTCTCAAGTGTCTTTATTGAACACACAAGGAACTGATTTGCTGAGGATGCTGCTGTTTATTGCCATTTTGGGCAATGGAGAACATATTTCCATTCATTCTTCCTTCCCACAGCCTCTGAGGAGGATGGAGCTGGTGATTAGAGGAGATCCTTTAGTTTTGCTGAGCACAGTGATAGGTTTGGGGCTGCAACTTGGGACAGAGCTGGGATACAAGGACTGGCTCTGTCTGCATCTGGGAAGAAGAGTCCAGGGAAGTCAGGACCTGGGAGAGAAGAGCCATGTGGGATGTCAGGAGAGAAAGGGACCTTCTGTGGCTGCATGATGGGGATAGGATTCTGGAGACTGCACAGGGTGTGCAATAGAAATCCTTCATCTGTGTTTCCTGGTGCATTGCTAGTAACATTTACTTGACTTCTTAATACATCCCTGCAAGTGGATGTTCAGAAGAGTTACAAATGTTAAATTCTGTATTCAAATGGGGCATGAATGAATTAGACACAGTTTCTGTAAGATGAGGGAATAGCT